GGTGGGGGCAGTTGGGGGCCACCAGGCTGGCAGGGGGGGCAGTGAGGGGCGACCAGGCCAGCAGGTGGGGGCAGTTGGGGGTGACTAGGCCATCAAGGGGGGCAGTTAGGGGAAACCAGGCAAGCAGAGGGGGCAGTTAGGGACAATTAGGCCAGCAGGCAGAGACAGTTAGGGGTGATCAGGCTGGCAGGCAAGTGAGCAGTTAGGAGCCAGTGGTCCTGGATTGTGAGAGGGATGTCTGAGGAGTCCGAGATTGGAGAAGGTACAGGCTGGGCTGAGGGGACTCCCCCTATGCACGAATTTCATGCACCAGGCCTCTAGTCTATAATAATAAAAGTGTAATATGCTAATTAGACCAAACATCCTTCTGGAAGAAGCTGGGGCTGCGAGGGAAGCCTGGGTCCCGGGTGCCTGCCAGTGGCTGGAGGGAAGCCTGGGTCCTGGGTGCCAGAGGGAAGCTGGTGCCGGCAGCCAGGGGAAGGAAGGCCTACTCTTGCGCAAATATCGTGCATTGGGCCTCTAGTTAAACATAAAGAAGAAAATTGGAATGCACACTTGTTCAACAGTCCATGTCATATGATAAACTAAATGACTTGCCTTGTTTATCTTCTTCCAATTCACTATCAGAGCATCCATCACTCTCATCTTTCACACTGTCATCAGCATCTGGTGCCTTCTGTGACAAGGTTTCACTGTCCTTTTCAGGGTCTAAATTATCTTTTTCATCGTCTGATGGTGACTTTGACATTTCATTCATTTGATCATCAGCCTGTCCTTCTTTATTAGCTTTCTCATCTTGTTTCTCCTCGTCTACTTCAAAATCTTCTTCATATTCTGAGAAAAAAAAATTATCCACTGTGAAAATGAAAATAGAATCCCTAACACTTAACCAAATTCACTTTAATGAGAACCATGATTCGATTATCCTCTTTTCTTGGGGTCTTTCTTCACTTCTATTTCACACAATTAGTGAACATGGAAAGCTAACAGTGAATGATCAAAGATTGCAATCAGTTACATATAGAAGAGCACAAAAGAAATGAGGCTCCAAATGACATGCCTGAAACCTAATAAGAGTTCATTTATAAAAGCACATCATCTAACAATAACCAAAATGGACAAGAGAAGAACTTGATAGAAAACAATAAATTAGAAATAAATTAAAAAATGAAGAGAATAGGATCATAATAATGAAAGTTAATTTGCAGATCCAGTGAGGTCATATTTCATATAAAAATGTTCAAAATATTTGGATATCAAGTTAATGAATAGTGAAGTGGAAAAATGTAATTAATCAAGTCCAAAGGCCCTAAGAAGTAACACTGTGAAAAGCACATTTTTTTGAGAACCAAATGGACCTCAAGAAAAGGCATTATGAAGAATTCTATACCTAGGCCAGGACTGCAATCATATGCATTATTCATCCCTACAATCAATTAAATAATTATATTCCAAGGGTAAAAATTTGTATAGAATAGAATATTACTGTCACAGCCACTAATTTGCTTCATTCCCTGCAGAGGTGCAACAAGTCTGCAGCAGAAAAAGAAAATTGTCACATCATATGAACTCCAGCTGTCCCTTGTGGTTAGAAATGTTCACCTTTCATATTTAATTGTTCCCCTTTTTCTTTCATAAAAACTAACGATCTTGGAGTGACAACATGCTGAGGATAGAGAGCAAAAGGATTTCATGCAGAATCAATTAAGCAAATAAACAATTATCTTTAAGATGAAAATTACAGGGAAAGTAAAGGTTTCCCTATTTTGAATTTTTTAGTTATTAGATATTCCAGTGGTGGGGGCCTCTCGGGTAAATACATGAGAGCTATCCACCCTGTCCAATGAAAGAAACTTAATTTAGAAATGCAAGCCCTATGTGTATTTAAAAAAACCTGTTAATGCAGAGAATGTATGAAGGAGATGTAAGAGGAAAAGTGAAATCAGAAACTTAAATAAAAGCAATGAGAATTCATCACAAGATTATTTTCATGAAAGATATTTAATATGAAGAACATTAAGTGAAAATTATTATCAGTAAGAATTATAAAGAATGCAAGATGATGAAAAATTTGGCTTATATTGCATGAAGCAAACAGGAAATAGAATAAAAACAAGTGAATCTTTTGATTTAAATTTTCAGACCAAGTAATAGAATAATTCTTCACTGGGCCCAGTTAGCTATCAATCAATAAGCCTTTATATTGGAAGATAAAAGATATTACAGTAACACAACACTTACCATCAAGGAATCTCCACTTTTTGTTGAGAAAATAAGACATACTTACAGAAGAGATATGTACTCATAGTAGTGTGTATACATAGTCCTCAGTACTGTTTGTTTCAACATTATTGATCTCCATGGCAATGGATTTTTATATAGGGTTTGATTAATTATATGAAATAGTACAAAATGAGTGGAATGGAATCAAAGGGGAGCAGAAAGGCATTTGGGGATTGTGGAAAACTTTGTAAAAGGAGAAGTTTAGGCTAGCCACAGAATGCACACACAGGGAGAAACACACACATATATCACTTTACAGATATTTGCTCCTGGTCACAGGATAAGCAGGGGGCCAGAGAGCACTTGAGTGAATTAGGTAATTCCACCAACAATACTAGATAGTATTAATTCCATCAATGGGGAAAATTGAGAGTTTTTGAGTCAGGCAGTCACCTGTCCAAGTCCCAGTTCAAACATTCACTAGCTGTGTGACTTAGGCAATCTGCCTCAAAAAGCTGTGGTACTAAAAGCAATCAACCCTGGAACGTGCTTAGAACAGTGCCCCAGCCAGTAGGTGCCTACTCAATATTAGGCATTTAGTAGCAATAGGGATTGTGATTGGGGGATGGAGGGAGTTGGTTGTAGAACAAGAGAAATTACACACACAGTATGTGCTCTATATACACTTTGATGGAAGCACCTGATTAAAACCAGCGATGTACAAATGTCCACAATTAGAACACAATTACAGTTATGTTATTGAAGCAGAGCAGAAAATTGAAGGAACATGTAGTGACCACACGAATAGTCCCTGCCACTTATTTTGCAGGAGCTTCTGCGTTTTTTCCCAAAGTATAAAATTTAAGGTTGCTGTGGTTTTATTTTACCCACCACTATCATCGCATCTAAACATCAGCCTTCTATGAACCACATTCTCTTAGCATTACAGCTCAAAGCATGCCTCCTTTGTATCATCCACTCCCGTGTTTTTAATATGAATGAACTGGTGGCATGCTTTCTGGATTCCTTTTCATGAATTCATTTTCTCCCCCGTCTCATCTTCCCGCTTCCTGAGATTTTAATTAGCTTGTTGTTTACCATCCTCACTAATGAGGAAGAGAGTCAGCACGAGGTCAACATCAATCCAGCTGCAACCCTCCCTCGCTGACCTCCTCAAGCTTCTCGTGCCCTTCCCATCAGCCACTGTTCTGCGGAAAGCTGAAGCCTTGCTGCTGCTGTTTTTTTTTAATGGAAATGGGCAATTAAAGTCCATTAACTAGCCAACCCAGAAGAAAAATCTTGGAAAAGCTGTATTATAGGCATCAACTATGCTAACTCACAGCACTGGCCATGTGGGTTTGAGAGAGAATAAATGAAGAAAACGAAAAGCCTCTACTGAACACGGCTTTAATAAACCTACAGGTCTTGAGAGTTAAAAACAAATGGGAAAACATCCCATTTGTGAATCTCCCTATTGCTCTTGCTATAGATATTTCTAAATTCTCAGTCTAAGATAACCATAAAGACGAGAAGGGATTGTGGAGAGAGAGAGGCAACTGGGTCAGTGTTAGAAGGGAAAACTTTTTGAAGATAGTCACGTGATTTCAGTAACAAACAAGCATAGAATCCGGTGCCCACCAGCCCTGGGGTGACTGCCTTGGATTCCTGAAACCCTTGGGCAGCAACAAGATGGGGTGAGGAAGATACCGAGGATGTGCCTTTTCCTGATGCAGCCTCTTCACAGGCCATCCCAGCCCAAGGCCATCGCTCCTGCAATCCAGGCTTTGTCTTCTGCGTATAAGGGGGATTCTCAGGCAGCTCCATTTCTTTCTTTCTTTTTTTAATAGTTCTTTATTGTTGGAAGTATTACATATGCCCCCCTTTTTCCCCCATTGACCCCCTCCAACCCACCACCGCCTACCTCCCCAGGCCTTCAACACCCTATTGCCCGTCCATGGGCCACGCCTATATGCATACAAGGTCTTTGGTTGATTACTTCCCACCCTCCCCACCTTCCCTCTGAGATTCCCGACTTGTTCCATGCTCCCATGTCTCTGGACCCACTCCATTCATCAGTTTATTTTGTTACTTAGATTCCACATATGAGTGAGATCATGTGATATTTGTCTTTCTCTGACTGACTTATTTCACTTAGCATGATACTCTCTAGATCCCTCCATGCTGTCTCAAAGGATAAGAGATTCTTCTTTTTTACTGCTGCATAGTATTCCATGGTGTAAATGTAGCACAGCTTTTTTATCCACTCATCTACTGATGGGTATTTGGGCTGTTTCCAGATCTTAGCTATTGTAAATGGTGCTCCTATGAACATAGGGATGCATACATTCTTTCTGATTGGTGTTTCAGGTTTCTTAGGATATAGTCCTGGAAGTGGGATCACTGGGTCAAATGGCAATTCCATATTTAATTTTTTTAGGAAACTCCATAATGTTTTCCATAATGGCTACACCAGTCTGCATTCCCACTAGCAGTGTACTAGGGTTCCCTTTTCTCCACATCCTCACCAGCACTTGTTATTTATTGATTTTCTGATGGTAGCCATTCTGACAGGTGTGAGGTGATACCTCTTTGTGGTTTTAATTTAGACAAATTAAATTTGTTTGGAATTAGACAAACCTGGGTGTTGAAGAGTAGCAGAGTATGCCACCCTGAAATACACAATTTCGGCATAGGGATTATCTTGAGCTGACGGCTTCTTGTATCTACTGGGAAGAAGTAGATACAAGAAAGCTCTCTACCCACCCCCATTTGCCTAAAAGTAAGACATACATTTGTGAAGGTGTTTTCCTTCCCTTTCTAGCAGGAAGTATGGAAAGTTAATCACAGAAGACAACTTCTAGACCTTATCTCAGATAGGCACCAGAGGAGTCAACCTAACAAACATCAGTAAAACTAGACCTTCTATCATTAGTTCCCCATATAATTGCCTTTCCACAATTTGCTGCCTTTGGATGCTCAAAGTCCTTTTCCTTTGTCCTGTTACTTCACTAAAAATATATTGTTAATTTTGTTAACATGTGATATAAACTCAATTTCTAACCACTCCTTTGAGTTACTCAGCTCCAAGTGCTCCCACATGTTTGTGTGATGTGTGTGCTAATAAATTTCTGTGTTTTCCCCTTGTTAATCTCTTTTGTCAGTCTAACTTATAAGGACCCAGCCAATGAACCTAAGATGGGTAAAGGGAAAAAGTGTTTCCTCTCCTAACGTTTGAATCCTAGTTCTGCTACTTTTTCTCTCTATGTCTGAATCTCAGTTTCCCAACTTATAAAACGGAGGCAATAACAATAATATCTACCACACGACATGATGAGGATAAAATGACACAGTGTAAAGTGCCTGGCTCAGTGCTCACTGCCTGGCACTTATTGTTGTTATTACTATACTATAGTTATATATGTGGAGAGAGGGAGAGAGAGAAGAAGAAGAAAAAGAAGAAGAAGAAGAAGAAGAAGAAGAAGAAGAAGAAGAAGAAGAAGAAGAAGAAGAAGAAGAAGAAGAAGAAGAAGAAGAAGAAGGAGGAGGAGGAGGAGGAAGAGGAGGAGGAGGAGGAGGAGGAGGAGGAGAAGAAAGAGAAGGAAGAGTGATAGAGTGATGGAGGAAAGAAAAGGGAAAGGCAGGGAGGAGAGGAGAAAAGAAGAGGGGAGGAAAAGAATAAGAAAACAAAAAGGTGAACAGGTAGACTCTAGGACCCCAAGCCTATGGCAACTGTTTCTAGCTATGGAATACTCTACCACCATACAATCATATAGATTGTGCCTACCCAATGCCATCAATAATCACCAGTATCACCAAAGCAAGTACTATGCATTCAAATACAAAAAAAAGCCATGGTCAGTGTGCTCAATAGTTAGAGCATCAGCCTGTGGATTGAGGGGTCACAGGTTTGATTCCCAGTCAAGGGCATGTACTTGGTTTGCAGGCTCATTCCCCAGCCCAGTCAGGGTGGGTGCAGGAGGCAACCAATGGCTGTGTCTCTCACACGATGTCTCTCTCTCTCTCTCTCTCTCTCTCTCTCTCTCTCTCTCTCTCTCCCTCCCTCCCTACCTTCCTTTGTGCCTTTTTCCCTTTCACTGTTTCTAAAAAATAATCAATGGAAAAAATATCCTCCAGTGAGGATTAACAAAAAAAAAAAACCCTAAAAAACAAATAGGCAAAATTCTGTTCAGTTAGAATGTCTCTCTCTGCAGAAGTGAATAGCCTAGCCTCTAGTTAATGTACGCAGCAGCCCTAAACTCCCCTTCCTCTCCTCTCTTCCTCAAGCAACTTTAGCCCCTGCAGAGTTCGGCCTGCCCTCCTCTAAGGTAGGTGACACGGGCCCCACGCAAAACAGTGGAGGAAGGTGGTCAGGGAGACCTCACGTATAATAGGATCACCTAAATGCCAGAACAGTGACAACATTTAATAAATAATTTTGCAAATTTCGATAATCACATTTTAAAGACTTAAGCAAAAGAACAACCTCAGTAACAACAACAGAACCCTGTGTCACCTGTTATCTTACCGTATTTAAATATATTTTCCTGGTCATCTTCCCAAACATGTTGTTTTCCTTTACGTTCCATTTCTTCTACAGCAGTTCTTACATCTTCAACCCCTGATTTTTCTTCGTCGGCTGAAAAAAAGACTGAAGAGGTTTTGCTCCCCTCCATCTCATTCCTTCTTGGGACGATGTATGCTCTATCCTTCCTCAGTTTCCCCTCGCCCTTCGGTTCCTCTCTTTTCTCAAGACTTTTTTGTTTCCTAGGTTTTGGCGAAGTTGGTTTTTTGTCAAGGCCCATTGCAATAATGCACCTATGAAAAATATTAACATAGGATTTTTATTAACTTTTATACATAGCAGAGTGGAACTGCAAAGCTTTTAAATCACGTACCTCTTATTCTTGTAAGAAATATTATAAGAAATATTTTATTAAGGTATATACCAGTAGTTAACTAAAGTAAATTCTTTTCTTTTTATTAATATTAAAATCTCATAAAAAGCACAAAAAAATCTTAATAACTTTACCCACAATAATAAACAAGAAAACAACAAAAGAACTTTAGTCCCAAACTAAAATTAGTGCCTTAAAACATATTTTGGCCTTACAACAGAGTTATATGGTATATAATTCAAGTCCTTATATGAGACTTATGTGATAAAAGAACATCCAGGTTTGCAAGCACAGGAAAGCTGAGATAAAAATATTCAGAAAAAGAAAGATGCCATTCAGTCCACGATAATTTATTATTCCAATAACACAACAAAAGACTTACATACCAGGTTGACTCTGAATAAATATGATTGATTTTTTTAAGAAACATACAGTCACATGTTGCTGTGCCCTTTAAATAAACATCTCAGGAACCTTCCTGCTTATTTTAATAGAAATGTCATTATTGCATTTAAAACTGCTTTTTGAAACCTGTACCATAATCCTTGGTGACTTTTACTGGATATAAGCTTTGTTCTTTAAAGATGGCAATAGTTTGTAGAGGTCATAAAGTCATTCAAAGTCAAATCTGGTGAACCAAGCAGGTAATCTGCATGCATTAAGATATTAAAAATAATTTTTAAATCAGTTACAACAAGTCACGTGAATAAATTCTTCCATAGCTTTTTTCCTATCAAGTTTTTTCTCTTTTTTCTCTCAAGTTAATGTCAAAATAAAAATTCTAATAATGATCGCATATACATTAATAACATGATGGTTATCATAATAATATTACAGAGCACTCCCTCTGTGCCAAGCTCTTTGCTATGTGCCCTATATATGCATTATTTTACCAGGTTTGTTACACCACAGACCAATAAATTGGGAGCTATCATCACTACTTTTCAATGAGGAATTTGAGGCTTCAAGGGTTCCATGACATGCCCAAGCTCACCCTGCAGGTGAGTGATGGAGCTGGATTCCAGCTCAGGACTGTTAAACCCCATGACCTCACACTGAAGTACAAAAATATTGCTAGGTTACAGGTATAGTCCTCTCAGATGACTAGCTACACAGACAAATATTACGCTGCTGGGTTTACCACCAGGGAATTCACACTCACCACCAGAAATTAGCAGAATCTGGAGAAGTTTTCACCAAACTCTAAAGACAATCTGTGACCTGGGAAAGGGGGCTGGCACTTATCAGTCCTTCTCTAGAAATACACACGTTCCCTTTATCTACAGGTTACATGGCTATCGGGGAACTGAATCAAATAGAGTGAGTAGGTAAAAAAAGATCAGAATGCAGTCAAGACTTGTCAGTCCAGGAAGACTAGAAATAATATGTAAAATTTGAAAATTGCCTCAAGGTGAATCAAATCCAATGACAATTTCTTAAACTCAAGATTCACTGAATGTCAGCCATCTCCAGTCTAGGAATAGCATTAGAATTAATTCTCCCAACAAGCAAATGTGGAAACTTAGTTATGTTACTCATCTTTTGAATACCTCCCCATAAAATAAAACTAAAAGGCTCTGCACTCAAAGTAACTATCAGGCTGTAAAAAAAATGAGATAAGAATACACTTACCTCACCCATATTAAGCATGATAAATACTTGACTTCAATGATGATGTACTTAGCACATGACTTTCCTTAAAATAAAGGTGTCATGAATCTTCACAGAATATGATTACCTGCATTGCCTTCTGTCCAAGCTGTTCTTCCCTTATCCACGGCAACACCAAATCCATTGATTTGGAGCCTCTGCTATGCTATTACTTTAAGTTTATGTTGTGACTCTTTTTTGCCTCCCTACTGCATGCACAGACTTTTTATTGCCCATCTGCTTAAGGGAATTGGACAAACAAAGTGAGTAACATCTGTGCTTTCCTCGTCACTGACTACCTAGTTGACTTCTGAGTATAATTTGAGGTGTTGATTACTAAACTCAAAGCTGTCTGCATTCTATTTGGTTAGGCAATCCTTCTTCCTGTGTTTTGCTCTAATAACTGAAAATAACTATCGCGTCTTTTTGAACAATTCCCATGATTGTGAGATAAATACAACTGTTTAAGCTACACACTTTGTAAGTATCCACTGCTGAGCTTTTTCTTGTTTCCTCGACCCTTAAGCAGGTAATTCCTAATCAATGTTGGTATTCAAATTACCTACTGTTTTATTTTATCATAGTAAAAGTTCCAGCAACCATTACTCTTAAAATGAACTAAAATCAATTCCATTTTTAAGAAATCGAACAGACCTTAAAATAACTAAAATTATTATTATGAACGTGACAATAAAAAACAAAGGTTAGACAATATTATAAGTGAATCAGTCTCCTTAGGGGTAGTTCTCAATTTTCACTGGAAGTCTGCAGTATCTATACTATCTGGCCTTAGCTCTTTTCCAATTATGTCTTAAACTCACTCCAATCAAACTTGCATTCCTACCCTCCACTGTAACTTGTCCCAAGATCAACAATAACCAACACTTTACCAGATCATGCTCAATCCTCACTCTCCATTTACTTCATCTATCCACACATTCAGAGCTGCTGGTCATGCCTTTCTTTTCAAATATTTTGTTCATTTCTAGGACATCACTCTCTCTAAGTTCCTTTCTACTACTGGCTTTCCTTCTTAGGCCTTTTGCTCTCATTTTTGAACTGGAGTGACCTGGAGCTCATTGCTCAGGTATCTTCTCTATTTGCATTCCATTCTTAGGCAATCTCATCTCATCTTATGATTTAAATGTCATTTATATGCAAACCATTCTCAAATTCATATTTCTAGCTTGGACCTCTTGTTGGAACCAATAAATGTCCTAAACTTAATTTGCCCCAAACCAAAACCCCTTCATTCCACTTTCAAACGTGTTTCTCCCCCTCCCCCTCACACATAGAATAGTTAACTGGACATCTTTCCAGTTGTTCAAGCCAAAACCTTTTCAATCATCATTGACTTTGCTCTTTAATCTCATGTCCCATATTCAATCCATCAATAAGTTCTGTAAACTTTATCTTCATAACACATTTAGGACTCAATCCCTTACCTTTCTACCATCCTCCTCTGGATTGAGTAGTTTCCACCCTTCCCTCAACCTCCCTAGTTTATTTTTGCCATAGGAGCTACTGTCAAATCGTGACAGGTCATTGCCCAAAACTTGTCACAGAAGCTTTACATCATTCTCAGAATGAAAGTCAAAGCCCCTATTTTGATCTTCGGACTCCAATGATTGGTCCCCCTGTCTCTCTGGCCCCTTCAGAGAGGCCTTTCCTGACCGTCATATATAAAATAATCCTACCCCCTGACCTTTCTCCCCCCACACTTATTGCCATATGGTATATATTAATTTATTTATTGGGACGTTATTTGTCCTTCCCCCATTAGAATGGGCTCCATGGGGGGAGGGGTACTTTGCTTGGTTCACTGCTGCTTTCTAAGCTTGGCCTAAGACTAGAAAGGTTGCAAACAAGTCTCACAATTTCAAACAGAATATTCAATACAAACATGGATAAACAACAATCAAAACTGACCTTTTATTATGCATTTTCTGAGATTAAAACTAGGAGCATAAGAATGATATTTGGGCCACACAATAATGTAGTCACAGCTCTACAATGCATAACCTACAATAATCGACCGTAGAAGCCAGATGCTTGCACATGCTTTGGGGCTCAGCCCAAAACCAGTTACTAAGAGGAATGAGAAAAAGAAGGGGGGAAAAAAGAAAAGAAAAACCCTCTCTCACTTCAGAAACAGAGCTGAAAGCATGATACGGAAAGGATCAGACAGAGAGGGTTACAGGATTTAGAACACCACCAGCTTTTATCCCCGTCATACATCTGGAAGTCTAATTTATATCCTATAATGTCTAGTACAACACACAGTTAAACCACCTTTAACTTAGGTATTTTAGGCTCATTTGCACTGATATATTTCTCAACAAATTGTGCAGAGAAATGTATCGGTAAAAGCATAAGACGGTGTAGCAAAACGTGCCCTTTCCCAAAGGACATCTGTCTCCGTACTTGTAGCAAGGTGATGATCTCTCCACACACACGAACCCAAAGTAGCTTCCTTTGCCTCCAAGTCTGGAACCTTTCCGATGCTTATATTCACAGCAGGAGCTCAGCCTGTTCACCTGCATCCCGTTCAGGAAAAAGGTGAGACTGAAGGGGAAACCATGGTGCCTTTTGGAAATAAACTGAAAGGTCTCTGCAATTCAAAAGGAAAGAAATTAGTGAAAGCAACTGATTTTGGACTAACATGTTGTAAATCACATTTTTCTATTAGATAAGTACAATTTTATGGTCTAGATCACCTTTTAACTTGGGGATACTTTTTCATCATGAAAAAAATACGTTCTATTATCTTCATCTATTAAAAAGTACCCCAAGCCTTTATAAAACTGATTTTTAAAAATATCAAAATACCTATCATTGTATGGCACTTACTATGCCCAGGCATTATCCTGATTATCTTGAGTGTGCTATTTCTCACCAATCACATGAGGTGGGAATATTATTATCACTAGTTTCTAGATGCAGACATGAAGGCTCAGAGAAGTTCAATAATTTACCCCAAATCATTCAGTAAGTGGGAACGTTAGCATTTGAATCTAAACATCTCTCTAGATCCCATGCCTCTATTTCACTGTTACCTAGTGAAAAAGTACATGACAAAGGGCTAGTGTGAACTCAGTAATACTTTTAAATAAAAAGTGTATTTTTTGTTGTGACTTGAAACATCCTAATTCATACATATGAGGCAAACTTATTCTATCTCCAGTCCATTCTCAATTCTATCTGAATTTGATACCCCTTTTTGCTCCCCCCGAACCACTCAAAAGGCCCACCAATAAATTAAAAGCCACTGCTTGTAATCGATCAGTTTTAATGTTTCCAAGTCTTTATAAGGCTCTTTGAAAAGGTCTCACCCTAAAGTTACTAAGCCCTACATCTGAGACACCATGTTCTGCAGAGCGGCTCAGAAACCTGCTACTCCTGACACTTCTACTTCCTACAAAAGAAGCCTCCCTGGGCCCTTCACTTCTACTAATAATAGACTTAAGATTTTTTTTGCATCTCTGCTATGTACACATTTCCTATGGTTGCATTTATTGCAATATATTAAAATATGCCTCCACCAGCAGTTCTCAAACTTCCGTATACATCAGAATCACCCAGAGTTTATTAAAACACAGATTGCTGGGCCTCACCTCACAGTTTCTGATTCAGTAGGGCTCAAGAATTTGCATTTCTATCAAGTTGCCAGGTGAGGCTTATGCTGTTGGTCCAGAGATCACACTTTGAGAACCCCGATCTAGATGTGTGCTGCCCTACATGTTTATGAAATCCATGAGAGCTGAAATTGGTCATAATCATCTTTGTTTCCCCCGATCCCAGGACTATGGCATAGGAGGCCCCCGATAAATATTGAGTTCTTATTTTAACCTAATTCTTTCACAGTCACCTAAAAATACTACGTTTATAGCACAGCATGCCTGTAAAAAGAAATATGAATCAGATGCTAAATAAATCTAGCAGAGTGGAACTGCAAAGCTTTTAAAGAATTGACTTATTGAGAAAGTAATTTTGTCATTTGTACATTAGTGTTTGTGATGTGAAATTAAACAAACTAGGAAAGAGAAAGTTGAAGGGATAGTGTCTGGAGAAACTAAGATGCAATAGATTTTAAAATCCAATTGTCTTTATGGTTTTTGGACTCCTTAGTGGTGACTAGAAAGATTTCGTTACAGAAACTTGAATGGGGCATTCATGTGATTCATGACACCCGCAGTGCCCAGCCCAGGAAGAGAGAGCACCCAAGGAAGTGCTGAGAATGGGCACAGGACACCAACTTCTAGATGTGACTGCTCTGCCACTTGGTACTCGTGTGACTGGAGAGCACATCCACCTAGTATTCCATGCCTTTTTTTCCCCCCCAAGCACGCTGAACAAGAATTGACACCCTCTGCCTTTATTCCCTTGTTACTTATTTTATAATTTTATATTTTAAACTTTAGCGTCACTTCCCAGCCCTGACTTGATGGTTTCTACCTGGAGTCGTGGAAGGAAGATAGAACATTTCAGAATCCTCATCTATGAAATGGAGAAGGTAGGAGGAGTGGGTGAGGGAGTGAAGTGGAGGGGCGACCCAGTCTACCCACTTCACAGAGCATTCTTAAAGGTTATATACAGTGCAATATTGGAAAGCATTCTGTAATATTTATAAAATGTGGTTACTCATTGTTGACTGACAATGGGTAGCACTATTTTAGGCACTAAGGCAGCGGTTCTCAACCTGTGGGTTGCGACCCCTTTGGGGGTCGGATGACCCTTTCACAGGGGTCGCCTAACACTATCGGAAAACACATATATAATTACATATTGTTTTGTGATTAATCACTATGCTTTAATTATGTTCAATTTGTAACAATGAAATTGGGGGTCACCACAACATGAGGAACTGTATTAAAGGGTCGCGGCATTAGGAAGGTTGAGAACCACTGAACTAAGGAGAAACAAAAATACTGAAAAAACATCAAATGTGGTCTCCTCCTTCAAGAAATTATAATTTAGCAGGAGAGACAACATTAATATATCAGACTTCTGAAATGTGGTCACCAAATCCTCTCCTCTTAAAATGGTGTCTCTGAAAATGTACCAAAGGCTTAAACTGAGCAGCAGTTATTCGTGAAAACTTACTGAACTTTTGGTAAGAAGAGTGGAGATCTGAGGCATCCTTGCCTGGGGCTGCTCGCATGCCTCTCACCTGCCACTATTTCATCACTGCAGTTCTAACAGGTAGGGCAGGCCATAAATAACCAGCAGCTTCAATGTCAGTGGGAGCTCACTTGATTTGGAACAGAAGGCAAAATAACCTTGGCCAGTTGCTTTTCCACTAATAGGTAGCAATCTCAGAGGCAAGCTAACATAGACAGAGGGTTTGCTAGCCTGAAACTGTAGTTCTAATTAAGGCAAGCAACAGGCCAGTGGGCTAGCTGCAAATTCAACCATAGGATATAGGTAATAAGGCAATCATAGATGCATTTGTAGGGGAGCAAAATTTTCCACCCCAAAATGTGTCTCTGTGGCATAGGGATTATTTTCAGGAAACAAAAGACTCGGAAAGAACCTTTCACATTCCTCCTAACTGCCTAGAAGACGTTAGAGGACCTGCTCAATAAGGAAACTATCATCATACATAACTATAGTTTAATACAAACTAGATATAACAGACAGGGATGAAGCTCACAAGGCCCATTTGATTAAAGTTTTCTCTCTGTCCCATTGTTTCTGCATGGCCCACAAACATTTATCTACCAAAAATTAACTCTTTTCATCTACCTGTGACTTCCCTTTGAAATTCCATACGTCTCCTCCATCTCCTTAGTCCAGAATGACATATACACCTTATCTTGCCTTAACTATCTTTGGCATCTCTTATGTCTGTGCAGATTTCCTGAATGTATGTGTTAGATTTTATCCTGTTAATCTACCTTATGTTATTTTAATTATTTGACCAGCCCAAAGAACCAAAGAAGGGAAGGGAGAAATTGTCCCCTCCCTCACACATTCAGTAAGCTTTATACACATTCTCGGCTAGCTGGAAGTGGCATGGGTTGGAGTAGGCTCAACCTATTCATACATCCCTAGCCAACTGGGAGTTTGTATCCATGAATAAAGGAAACACAAGAGAGCCTGGTGGAAAATCAGAGTAGGAGCAGACCTGAAAACTGCCTGAACTTTGAATGTACTTTTTGTTTGTTTGTTTGTTTGTTTGTTTTGGAATGTCAACTAACATCTCTTTATTCTTTTTTGTTTTTTAGTTCTGTATTGTTTAAAGTATTACATATAGTATTACATATGTCTCCTTTTTCACCCATTGACCTCTCCCCAGCCACCCCCCCCAACCCCCCCTAGTGTCTGTGTCTATTGGTTATGGTCATATGCATGAATACAAGTCTTTTGGTTGATCTCTTACCCCCGCCCGCCCCCCCCCCCCGCCTATACTCTTGAATCCACTATAGGAGGATGGACATTGCCCTCGAAAAATTCATGACCTCCTAGATCTCAGAATGTGAGTCGATTTGGAAACTGGGGTCTTTGCAGATATAATTAGTGAAGGATCAAGATGAGATCACCCTGAATTTTGTCCTCATTCCAATGACCTATGTCCTTATTAGAAGAGGACAGGCCACACACAAAAACATACAGAGAAGTATGACATGTGAAGACAGAGAAGGGATTGGAGTGATGAAGCTATAAGCCAAAGCATGCCAAGTATTGCAGGAATCACCAAAAGTTAGAAGGGACAAGGAAGGATTTTCCCCTAGAGCTTTTACTAAAATTTAGAGGGAACACGAACCTGCTAACACCTTGGTTTTAGGCTCTGGCCTCCAAAACTGTGAGAGAATACATTTCTATTGTTTTAAGCCACCAACTTAGGGGACATTTTTTACACCAGTTCAGGAAACTAATAAACCTACAAACATCTACTTGCACAAGGTGGAGACTTTACTGGCTCAAAGTTTTGAACACGGCCTTTGATAAATCACTAGATGATCACTAAACTATGAAGACACTGAGACAACCCTAAGAAACTAGCCTGAAAACTGAAAAATAGAATTTAAAAAATTATGAGTAGAGACTTCACCAGCTGTATACCAAGGAGAGAGAAAATGAATTTCACAGAATTGGTCCAGGTAAATTACTAAACAAACAGCAACAACAAACAGCAACAACAATAATCTTCAAAAGAGAAATGCAAAATCCAGAAACCACAGTTGCTCTAATAGAGTGGTTCTCAACCTGTGGGTCGCGACCCCTTTGTCAGTCGAACGACCCTTTCACAGGGGTCGCCTAAGACCATCCTGCATATCAGATATTTACATTATGATTCCTAACAGTAGCAACATTACAGTTATGAAGTAGCAACAAAAATAATTTTATGTTGGGTCACAATATGAGGAACTGTATTTAAAGAGCCAGAAGGTTGAGAACCACTGCTACGTAATTTTAAATGTTCTGTTTTCATCAAGAAATCCAAAAACATATAAAGAAACAGGAAATATGACCCATACTCAGAGGGGGGGGGAAGCTATCAAACCCACTCCTAGGATCTACTCCAGAGAAATGAAAATAGATGTCTATATAAAAACTTGTATATTTGTAACAGCATGATTTATAAAAGTCCTAAAAGTGGAAACAATGCAAATATCCATCACCTGGAGATAGATAACTACGTATTCAGTGATATAAGATCAGAGAAGCTATTGATAGATGCTACAAACGGATGACTCTCAAAAGCATTATGCTAAGTGAAAGAAGCAAGACACAAAATACTGCCTATTGTATAATTTCATATATAAGAAATATCCATAAAAGGCAAATCTGCAGAGGTTGCCTGGGACTGGCTATGAAAATGGGAATTAACTGCCAATGGGCACAAGGAAGCTTTTAGAACTGATGGAGATGTTCTAAAACTGCTTTGTGATAGATAATGGTTGCACAATGCTAGAAAATTCCCAAGTATTAGTAAATTGTACACTTAGGATGAGTGAATGTTACAGAATGTAAATTACAACTCACTAAAGCTATTTTTTTAAACAAAAAAACACCTCAATATATGATAACAGAAAAAGAGAAATAAAAAAAAACAGTTAATATAAGTCTCAGTACAATGAAATGCTTTGGTTTTAAGCATAGAATAAGAGCCATTGCCATCAAGAGAGATGGATAACAGAGTCAACTGAGAAAGCTTCACAGCCTTATTCTGAATCTTAAAAGATGGGGAAGATTTAAATTTAAAATCCTATTTTGAATTTCAAATCCATTGTTCTATTGCAGACAAAGGAAATATCACACAAAAAGACCAGAGAACGAATTGGGGGGCAGGGGCAGTACTTCAGAATGCACAAATAGTTACAACAGAATCAGGTTTGGAAATGAGAGATAATCGGGCAAAAGGAAGAGATTATAAGAGGGTCAGAAAACAGTTACTTTGTTCTTTGTATCCACATGAACCCAGGAGGCTAAGGTTTGCCTTGTTTAATGATGCACGATGCACGTGGCAAATCAAAAGGCCTGTGAAGAACTGCATTCTCCACAAGTTGTAGAAATGTTCAGTGTCTTCCTCGGTGTACAGAATAAACAATCAATGTGTGGCTTGACGTCTAAAATCAAACCGCAAGACATCATGGAACTACTATGGGAATAAAAGATGCACTTGCCACACTATTAAATAATTAATTTTATTGTTATTTCTCATCCAAAAGCGAGACAAGTTAATGAATGCCACATTTTTAATGAGTTTTCTGCTCCAAGCATAACATTAAATGTGTTTTTTTTCCTAACAGAAATCTTCTCAAAACCTATTCACATTTCATTGAGTCTTACACAGCTTTGATTTTTAAAAAGGGCAGATTCTTTTCAGTTCAGCTAAATTGCTAAGATTGCTGAACCACAAGTCAACTCTGAGCCACCGCACTTTTCAATTTTGAATAATTACTTTCCTGGCAATCAAGAACAAGCTGAGACAAAATTATTGTGTGGATGGGATTCAATTACTTATGTCCCCATCGCATCCTATAATTCAAGACTGTCCGATGACATAACAAAAAGATAGTCCCAGGCCCAGTATGTATGCAAAATAACGCGTAACCAGGTAACACTCCCTCGTAACCTTTGGCTTGGCACACTAATCACAGAGTGTATATCCTCTCCCAGAAATTCATTCAGCTAAGTCTTACTGTGTTTTGTTTTGTTTTGTTTTGTTTTCATTTGTATGTGCCATGCTTTCCAGCAGTCAAACAGACATTATATATGCATTTTCTTGAATAAAGAGTAATCTAAGACCCAGGAAGAGTTTCATTATGTTAATTCCAATTTTAGAACACAGCTAATTTCAGCAATTCTTCTAAATTAATAGTTGAAAGTTACACTTTTAAAAAATGAGCGCATGTATCTATGCCACTCTCATTATACCCATTGTATGATGAGAATGTAGGAAGCTCTTTGCTACTGAGAATAGCGAACTGGAGCTAGATGGTACTAATCAAAGGTCCTGCACCTAGTCAGGAGCTGCATCTGCTCTTGACCCGGCCCACAGCTGCATGTGTGACCTTGGGAAGCCTGTACCTCCGGACTCCTCTCATTTTCCTCATCTACAAAAGGGAAGGAAGGAACTCTCAAATGCTACAAAAATGAGACAAAAGTAAATTATATTTCAGCCAAGTATATAAAATGGGGTAAAATATTTCCAGCATTATTAAACATTATTTTTATAAATTATACATATTTTTATAAAGTAAAAAATATTTTTATAAAGTAAAACATAATGTATTTTACTTGAAATTAAAATTAACATTCAAGTGCTTGCCCTTTCTTATGTTGGAAAGTTTTAACATTTAATCCCTAAATATGGATAGTTTCTCTTTTAAGTACTTGAATTTTTTAAAGTAATATCACTGTTTTCTTGATGAGGGAAAACAGAAAAGCCAAAAGTAACAACTCCATGCTTGCCTCCAACTCCTCCCTTAACCCCTAAGTCTATATCAAGATTACTCACATATAAATATGTCTCTTAATTAGTGAAAACTCCATTACTTTCTATAGAGTTTCTTAAGCAAGGAAATCACAAGTAGCACAATCCTGTAACAACTCTTCCTTTTAACTGCTGTCCCACAGATTAAGTAGACAAAAACCACTTCAGTCAAATATGTGAAACTCTATATGCAATATAAAAATTAGCCTATGCCACCAAAATATGTCTTCCGGGAATATCGATTATTTTAAAAGTATTTTTTAAAATATGTTTTTATTGACTTGAGAGAGAGAGGAAGGGAGAGGGAGGGAGAGAGAGAGAAACATGGGTTGGCTACCTGGGGATGTACCCTGACTGGGAATCCAACTGGCGATCTTTCCATACATGGGGCAGCGCTCAATCAAACCACATTGGCCAGAGCGGGATATTGATTATTTTAAGTTGATTTTTTTAAGAAAGGAAACACTCAGGAAGAACCTTAGACCTTCTCCCTTCCTGCCTAAAGCAATCCAGGTAGAGGGCCTGTTCCAGAAAGGGCGCTGTCGCCATGGGTCACTCTAATACAATATGAACTAGGTGTGGTCGGGAGACTCAGCAGAGCCTCAAGATCAAAGTTCCTTCTGTTCCCTCTTGTCTCTGCATGGTCCAGCAAACATTTTTTAATTTGTTTACTGAACCTTTGCTTTTCCAACTCCATGTGAATTGCCTTCCTACCCTTTGCAGTCCTAGACTCCAACCCCTTCTCCTTAGAAAGGCACATAAGCCTCAATTGCCCAATTTGTCTCTGGGCCCCACATTCTTACAGAAACCCCTCCACCCTCTATGTACATAACTGAATTTGGTTATTTTCCCCTGTTAATCCAGCTCACATCAATTTAATTCTTATTCCAGCTAGAACTTAAAAGTGTAGAAGAAAATTTTGTCCTCCCCGACACTAACAAACATGGATTTATGATCAAATGAAAGTGAAAATGTATTAAATGCATTTGTCTAAATTCTGCACCATGTTATTTAGGTGTGATTTCCCCTAAAGTTTATTGGGTTTGTAATTTTATCTCAACATACTTCTAAGGAACAAATTGCCAATCTTGTATTTTTCTCTTAGAATAATGTATGATGTAGTTCATTGTGGCAAGCCAAATAATTAACTTGTAATTTGGGGACAGTTTATTTGTGCAACATTTTAATGATCATATATCTCTATCCCCCAAATTAATCTGTTACTGGGTTAAATAACTTCAAGTTCTTTCTTTCACAATCTGTCAGAGTAATTGCTGCTCCAGTTTTAATCACAGAGCAGTAAATCCAGATTCACTTTGAGGCAGCTGTTTTATAAGTCCCTGACTATGCATAATTTCATAGAGAAAGTGAAGTCATTCTGATATCAACAATAGTTTATCTATAACATTAACTTCAAGTACTTAAAAAGAATTCACATTGTATGTGTACCTTTTTCAAGTAGTTTGCCTCTGTAGACACAAAGGTTTTCTCCACCACAGTGCTGTTGATAAACTTGTATTTCATCCTGGAATTCTGGGTAATTATAACGTAAGTGCACAGTCTTCCCCAAATAGATCATTGTAATAACTGCATTACTATGCAGTGGTGTTTTATTAATCCTTCTTGAATCCTAGAATAAATTTAAAAAGGAGGGGCTTGTTAAGTACTTACCCTCTAACAGAGTGCAATGACATTGTAATATGAAGAATAGAAAAGTCTATTTTTAGGTACCTAGCAACAAAACCTTCATAAAACATCAATCTTCACAGAGCTCAAAAAGTGAAGCCCATTACAAAATATATCTTTCTAATAGTTATATACATTTTGGCTTTGTATTGTTAATTAAATGCTAAGACTTGTACAAAATTTGTACTTTTATTGTACGTGCATGTGTTTTACATACAACCATAATGTCAAGGATGCTAACGGGAAACTGCTCTTCACTCTTTGAGCTGGTTCTCAAAAAACAACAACAACAACAAATCAAATTAATTAAATTTTGGTGACATAATTTTGTTCTAATTTGAACTGACTTAACAATTGTGATTGTGATTTAATAATTGGTTTAGTAATTGAGCGCTTAACACTCCAGCAATGACACCTGAGTTTATTCTGAGTTTATTCACACATTTGAATCCTTCTGTGGTCACTCCGAGGATTAACGACAATGTATGTTATGTGCCTGTGATTATCCAGTTTCACAGGAGGCATTCAATTCAATGAAAATCAACATTATTAATATTATTTTAAGTATCACATATACCCAACAACAAAAGACCACCTCATTAAGCTCATATCGGATATTCTCTGTCATTGACCAATTTAAATCCTATCTAATACTAGACAAACATGGTAATTGACCATACCTCCACTACGCTTCCCATTGGCTAATCAGCAGGATATGCAAATTAACTGCCAACAAAGATGGCGGTCGGCAGCCACGCAGCTGAAGCGAACAGGAGGCTTGCTTGCTCCAGTGATGGAGGAAGCCAAGGTTCCCCGCCTGCCGCGGCCTAGCTCTGAGCTCCAGAAGCAACAATGTTTCAATTATAGAAGCTAAACAAACCCAGATACCTGCTTTCAGCCAGCAGCGGCCTCAGAGCTGGAGTGGGGCCTCAGAGCTGGAGCCAGGCCTCAGAGCTGGAGCTGGCTCTCAGCTCCAGTAACAGCTATAGAAGGTAAATAAATCCCAGAATAAAAAAAAAAGGAAAAAAAAGGAGAGGCTGGGAGCTTCAGTTGCCCGCCAGCCTGAAAACAGCCCTCAGCCCCTCACCCAGACTGGCCAGGCACCCCAGTGGGGACCCCCAACCTGAAGGGGGTGTGACCAGCTGCAAACAGCCATCAGCCCCTCACCAGGCTGGCCAGGCACCCCAGCGGGACCCCCATCCTGATCCGGGACACCCTTCAGGGCAAACCAGCCGGCCCTCACCCGTGCACCAGGCCTCTATCCTATATAGTAAAAAGATAATATGCAAACAGACCCTAACAGCAGAACGACTGGGAATGACTGGTCACTATGACACACACTGACCACCAGGGGGCAGATGCTCAATGCAGGAGCTGCCCTCTGGTGGTCAGTGCGGTCCCACAGGGGGGAGCTCTGCTCAGCCACAAGCCAGGCTGATGGCTGCCAGTACAGCAGTGGTGGTGGGAGCCTCTCCCACCTCCTCAGCAGTGCTAAGGATGTCTGACTGCAGCTTAGGTCTGCTCCCTGCTGGCAAGTGGACATCCCCCGAGGGCTGCCGGGCTGCCAGAGGGATGTCTGATTGCCATCTTAGGCCCAATCCCCTGGGGAACAGCCCTAAGCCAGCAAGTGGTCACCCTCGAGGGGTCCCAAACTGTGAGAGGGCACAGGCTGGGCTGAGGAACTCCCTCCACCTGAGTGCACAAATTTTTGTGCACTGGGCCTCTAGTAATTTATAAGATAAACAAATTTAAATGCCAGAGGTTAAAAGAAATGTCCTATTCTTTAACTTCTCTCTATATTCTAAAGTATTTGTCACAATAGTGAATGAGCATAGTGCTTGCCTAATCTGCAAGAGGAAGATGAAGAAAGACACTAGAAAAAGGAAGAGGAGGAGGCAGAGAAATCAGAATGGCTCACTGAAAGACTTTAAAAGGACCTAGTTACAGTGGTTCTCAACCTTATGGCCTTATAAATACAGTTCCTCATGTTGTGACTCAACCATAAAATTATTTTTGTTGCTACTTCATAACTGTAATGTTGCTACTGTTAGGAATAGTAATGTAAATATCTGATATGCAGGAATGGACTTAGGCGACCCCTGTGAAAGGGTCGTTTGACCGCCAAAGTGGTCGTGACCCACAGGTTGAGAACCGTCCTAGTAAGAATATTTTTGGCTTCTAGCATCACACCGAGGCCAAACATTACTTTTAACCTACTTCATTTTTCTAAAAATCAATTCTTAGCTTAATGAAAAATGTGAAGACACCAACTTTTAGTGAATCCAAGGCAATTATTTGAGTTTGATTTCATTGAATTACAGATGCCTTGGAGGCATGCATTTTTACAAAGAATAACAAAGTTGCAATAAAAATTTCTGAAGTAACTACTAAAATATTTCCATCTTCAAACCCATCCCCTTCTACCTCAGAGGACTTTTCTACTTCCATTCTATTTCTCTGAAGCAAAAACCAGAGGAAGTAAATCTGACAAATGAAATTCTATAAATAATAGTGTGAAAAGTATAGAGAGGGGCTGTGAGGTTTAAAATTTAAGCAACTGGTCTTGCCTGTGGACACACAGAACTCCCCAAAAGAAATATTTCAGGAACATCAAGAGCCATGAAGGTAAATCGAAACACCTCCCTGAGTCACAGTCAAAAGCAAAGGGATGATGGCAGGGCTGGCTCCTCGTTGCAAATGGATGCCACGTGTTCTCTTGCCTGGGTGTGTGGAGCTGTGACATGCATGTGTGCAGCCCAACGCAAAACCATCAGCCTAAGGCAAATCCAGCTCCAGGCTCCCACTGGAATATTTCATGATATGACAAATGAAATAAGAGCATCCCCCTTTTGTTAAGCAATACTTTCTAGAGCGACATGGATTCAAGGCTGCCCTGTGAGCCTCTGGTAGATGAGCACTGTATAAATACAAGGTAATAGTGGGAGTGGACTGAAGCAAAGCCTGCCTCCTGTATACGAAATGAGAACTAGAAGGAAGAACATTTAAAATAAAACAACATAGCCCTAACCTGTTTGGCTCAGTAGATAGAGCGTCGGCCTGCTGAATGAAGGGTCCCGGGTTCGATTCCGGTCAAGGGCATGTACCTTGGTTGCGGGTACATCCCCAGTAGGGGGTGTGCAGGAGGCAGCTGATCGATGTTTCTCTCTCATCGATGTTTCCAACTCTCTATCCCTCTCCCTTCCTCTCTGTAAAAAATCAATAAAATATATTTTAAAAAAATAAAACAACATAACAGCTCTTCACCCTTTTCATTTATTCTTATTCATATTCTTCCCTCTGCTAAAATGTATTCCTGATAGCAACATCTTCTTTTTCCCTGGGTCTAGTTGCTTGATTCCTTTAAAAAATATTCCCCAATTATTGTCACCAAATAACCTTTCTGGGTTCTAATGAGAGGCCAAATGACAGCTCATGATTAAGTACGTGTACTAGGAAACAATTGTTTCTTCCAGTTGACTAAGTTGCCTCTATACTTACTGTCTTCCAAGGTTAGAATGACTGCAAACTGATGAAATTTTGACAAGCTTTCATGGCCCTCTCTGCTATCCTCAAGCAGGAGTCAAAACCCTCCATCCCTGGCTAATTTTTCTCAGTGGTTAGAGCATTGGCCTTTGGACTGAAGGGTAGCAGATTTGATTTCGGTCAAGGGCACATACCTCAGTTGCAGGCTCAATCCCCAGCCCTAGTCAGGGCTCATTGAGAGGCAACCAATCCATATGTCTCTTTCACATTGGCGTTTTTCTCTGTATTTCTCTCCCCTTCCCTTCCACTCTCTTTAAAAATCCATTGGGAAAAAAAATATATCATCGGTGAGTATTAATAACAACAAAAAATATCCATAAAATTTCAGCTCCACGTTAAGAAGAGCAGCAAGGCCTCATGGCCCTGAACAACTAAGGGTTATCTTTCTGACTTCTTCTTCAGTTGCTTATGACTTTCCTTCTCATTTCTTTTCTGATATCTCCGGCAATAACAATCTGTGCTGACCAACAGCAAGACCCTTGAATGGTTAAGGAGTTAGCCGTTACGTATATGTAATATTTAGCATTCAATTGATAAAACAAATCCCCACTGGGGTGTCCTGTATCTCTGCCCAGGCCTGTCTGTGCTGGATATAAGAGATTTCTAATGTCCAAGAGCCTGTACTTGTTGATAGTGTTGGGCAGCAATTCCTTTCCAGCCACTTAGCCACGCCCTGATGAACTCTGGACATCCTAAAATCTTACCTGGACCACTGCAATAAACTTCTAGTTAGTAGGGTGACCATAGAATGTATTTATTTATTATTTAAATATATTTTTATCAATTTTATTTTATTTTTTAATCCTCACCCAAGGATATTTTTCCATTGGTTTTTAGAGAGAGTGGAAGAGAGAAGGAAAGACAGAGAGAAATATTGATGTGAGAGAAACACATCGATTGGTTGCTTCCTGCACGCACCCTAAACAGGGCTCAAGTAGGGGAGGAACCCTTGACTAGAATCGAACCTGGGACCCTTCAGTCCACAGGCCGATGTTCTATCCACTGAGCCAAATCGGCTAGGGCACCATAGAATTTATAATCCAAACTAGGACACGTGCTAGAAAAAATGAGCATTAATTTGAATTGTTCCAGGAAAACTACTATCTGGCTCTTGAACTCCAGACCAATGTTCCCAAATCCTAATCACCCTGGGATCAGGTACCAGACAACTCAGGACAGCCCTTAGACCCTGGAAACTGCCAAAATTATGCATACTACCCAACCCTAAGCCTGCTTACCCTGCCATATTATTCCATTTCTCAGAAACACAACAAAGGCTCTTGCCTATATATTCTTCACACTCCTACAGCCTCCCAACTGTCCCTGGTGCTGTCCTCTGTTGCCCTGTGTGACATGGTGTGATGGTTACCTTTGTCTGTCACCTTAGTTGGGCCACGATGC